TTTTTTTTTTTTTTTTTTTACTGTTTCTTATATGTTCAGCACTGAAACTTAAGTCTACTGTTGGTGCTTGTGGACGGTTAATGATAATATTATTGAAGAGGTGAACAAAGATGAGGTGAGGTAATCTGAGGTAAGGCGAAGTGCTGTTGGTTGATAGTGCTATTTTTAAACTCTTCTCTTTGACTTTTCTTTATTTGTTGGGTTTTTTTTGTAGAATATATTTCAAGTTTTTGAAATTCCAAAATGATTTTTATCAAAGTAGCAAAAAAAAGAAGAAAAACTTTTTCCTAGCAAACTTTTTATGCACAACTGTCAGCAATAAATTTCAATTTTATTGCTAAAAGAAAAGGTGACATGCTTGAAAATTTATTGTTTTTCTGTACCTAATTTAATTTCCAGTTTCGTAGTTTTTCTTTCTTTTTTTATCGTTGTACTTTTTAAACTCTTTCATGCTCTTTTTTCCCATTTCTTAGTAAACTTTTTGCAACATTCTTATGTAGTGAAAAATCTCAAAAACAACTATTCAAACTATATGCTTTTTTGATTTCTATTGTTTTTCGCTTTTCTTTAGTAAGCTTGTTTTTTTTTTTTTTGCTGATAATACCGCTGCTTTGTTGCCTTTTTGGTTTTCCTTCTTATGACTTAGTTTAGTTTAATTTATGTAGTATAGTAAAAATATGTACAAACATCGTTAAAAAAAAACAACTTCTAAACAACACTACATCAGCATTGGCATAATACTTCTTCCTTTAATAAATACAACACTGAAGCTTCAATAAACTTCTGAAATCAAGGTACTTCTTGTTTGATTGTAGCAACTGAAAAGTATTGCTGTTGAAGGTGATTATCAAAGTAACTGTCGATTCAGGAGTACTAAAATGTCATCAGTGTTCTGGATGGCATGGCAGAGGATATGCACCATCACAAGTTGAGGTATCCAACTGTGACAATATGAACAATCAGTGCCAAACTCAACAATTTTGTGTCAAAAAAATTGATCCCATAGTGCAGTCACGCGGATACGTTACATTTACCAGTGACTGTTGGTCAGTTTATTATTTGTGGCTACAATTCAGACTAAATAAAACATAAAGTTTAAAATTAATAAACTAAGTAATTACAAGGCTAATTATAACCCGCTTTTCTCAGATCCTAATTTCTGGTGTATTGTCTATGTTTGACTTTTGTTTTGCACTTATCACACTAAACAAATATTTAAATATGAACGAAAAATAAAATGCTATAGCAGTGTTAAATTACATCAATATATCAATCTATCAAAATAACAGTCAAAATAATTTACGGTTTAATTTTGGTTTCTAATCAAAAAATAACTGTTTGTACTTTATTAAATTACCCAAAAATTACTTTGTTGACAAAACAAACTTTGAG